TGCTTAAGATTTCATCTTTATTATGAATTGTTAAATTTTATTTTATTTTATTTTTTAAAAATAATTATCCTTTTTATCTAAAAAAATTTCATAAATCTTAATCATTGACAATAAAAAGATAAATTATCTAAATTTTGTATAAGTGATATATATCAAAGTTATGTGGAAATAAATTTTAACTCTTTTTAAAATATATATAAATGATAATTAAGATTTTTGTTCCTATAAATAGTTATTGTTGAGTAGTCTTATTTTATAAAAAAATTCAGTTATTATTCATATAGTATAAAAAAACATTGTTTAAAATACATGAAAAAAAAAGTAAAACAACTTATATTTGAAAACAAAAAGAGTAAAGTTATGTTCAAAATCACCGTAAAATGTTGTGACTGTACATTTTTTAATAATTTTTTTAAAAAATTATATTATTATTTGATAATGACTTTCAAAAGAGTTTTATGTATTAATATGATCATAAAATTATACAAAATATTAATTATAGTTAATTTAATCATAATAAATTAACACTTTGATAAAGTATTGTATAAAAAAAAATATTGTAAGAAAGTAACCTCAAACCCAACATAAAAAGGAGCTGATAATCCAAAGAACCTAATGACAGTCTCTCTTGTATGTGGTGCAAGAAATTTGGATGGTTGAATAACCTAGTGGAGTGCGTAAATGATGAAAAAAGTTGCATCTTATTATGCAAAATAAAAAAAAATAAAAGAAAAAGTAAGAAGTAAGAATTAACCATTCTTTAGAGAAATAAAAGAAATTTGTTAATTAAGAAACTTATTATATAATTTTACTAATTAAAACATATATCCAAAAAAGTTAAATAAAACAAAATTTTTTATTTACATTTATAAAAATAAAAAAAATGTTGTGAAATTATTTAAAGATCTTAAGTATTTTTGCCTCTTTTTTTTCTGTAATTTCACCTGAAAATTTTCTTTCTCTTCTGAAAGAAAGATGAAAAAATCGTAATTGGCCCAATTCCTCCAATTTGACGATAAGGAAAAGGGGGTTAAAGGGAGGGTAAAACATTGAACCAATTACTCATCTGAAAAAAGTGAACCTTGAACCAATTAAATAAAATAGAAAACTTGCAAATGTTATATTATTTAGTTAAATTATTAACTAAGATAATGAGATGTCATGTCAAAATTGTGATGGAAAATTAAAAATTGTTCTTTCTAAAATTGGTTATTTCTTCTCTTTCAAGTTTAAGCATACTATTTCAATGAAAAACTTACTAAGCGCTCTCTCTCTTTTGCTTTTCTAACGAAGAGAAGTAATTGAGAAAGGATGGCTCATCATATAGTTAATTAATTAGAGTTTCTCTACCAAGTGTCTTATAAAAAGTAATTATTAAATATAGTAATAATTATGATTTTTTTAATTAAAGATAGAATTTTAAATTAAAAAAATATATTTTTATTTTTATTTTAAAATAAATTAATAAAAAACTAAGACACAGTTAAAAAAAACTAATACTTGTAACTTATAATTAAAATAAAAGTTAATTTTTTTAAAAATAAAAAATTATTATTATTATATAATAATTACTCCTATAGATAAACCAAATTTATTATTTCATAGGTTGGTCTCCCACGGAGCGAGCTGAAGAAAACCAGCTGAAATGGCTTAGAGCATATTTGGTTCAAATTTCAAGTATTTTAACTTTTTGATACTATTTATATTTCATAAATTTAAATTTTTTTCTTAAAAATTTATATTTTTAAATTTTTTTAAAATTTTAAAAAGATCTCAAACAATAAAAATTCAAAAATTTTAAATCTAAATTTTTCATAAATTTTTTTTTATTTACTTTTTTTTATCTTTAAAAAAGTAAATTATTACAAGCTAACGCAAACATGTTCTTATAATCCCTAGAAAAAGTTAAATTAATAAAATAATTAAATTAACGTTTTTAAAACAGTTGATAACTAACAATTAATATTTGATAATTAATAATTATTAACATTTATAATTTAAAATATTTAATTTATTTGATTAAAACTAACAATTAATAATTATTTTTAATAAATCAAAATAAACACTCCCTTAAGATTGCTTTTGAGTGTAGGGAGTGTAGTACTGTATTTTATAATCCCTTTGATTCGTTCCATTTGAGGATAAAACCTTGAACCAACCACGGAAAGAACTTTCCTTGAAATTATCTAAAACTTCTCCTTTGAAATCATGAAGTAGAATTTTTCCAACTTATAGGAGTGTGTTTTAGGTTAGATATGGTAAAATATCAAATCATGAAAACCAAATTGATTGCAGAAACAAAATTGACATTTTATTTAGTCCAGCACTTGGAGGCCAACTGGCCTCCTTGCAAGTCAGAACGTGCTTAGGATTAGTTGAACTTGGATTCAATTCCAAGTTCCCCTTTCCTCATCCCTTCGAAGAAAAATTCCCATTGTTCAAAAAAAAAATTTTGACATTTTATTTGTTTTGATTTTGAGATATATAATAAAAGTTAACCTCCTCTTATCCCTTTATTTAAAGAAAGAGATTATTTTTTTTTAATAAAAAAGAAAGAGATTATTATTATGTCACTTACACACATTAGCACAAAATTGACATTTGTTAAACATGCCAAATGAATTTTATACGTGTAAATTTAATAACATAATCTTGATTGAAGGAGATGTATTTATTGTTATCAATAGAACCTGAAAATAGTGGCAACATAACAATCCTACCAGCAGCCAGTCAGTCTAAAAGGGATCTAGCTACCCAACCATGTGAAGCCACACGATTACCAAGTAATTATAGTCTATAATTAAACTATAACCTAAGTTTCTGCTTAGAGAAGGGTACTGTACGCACCTTTTTTATATTGCAAATTACTTCAATCCAAGTTAAGAGTACCTAATCTCAAAATCATATCTGCTTCTAGAAAGTAATTCACATCACTATCAATCTTTCGTCTTGGTAGGAACCAAATTTTGGGGTATAGAAGATATTGCAAATGCATAAGTGCAAATGTTGAAACATCAACTATTAACAACTTGATTTTAAACTTTTAAAAGTTAAATAAGCTAAGTTAGAAGTGTTGTTAAGCATGTAGAATTTGTGCTCTCATGTTTTCAGCTGCTACTGAATTCTCATCGATCCTAACTAAGAATTTTTTTCCCATCTACATAAAAAAAAATGTAATAGATAAACCATTGTCCTTTATATTCAATTAAAAACCTTTAGCTTTTTAACTTACCTGTAAAGTGCGTTATTTTGTGTTTTTATCATTTTTAGTCTTAATTTAATTGTGATTAAGAATCTCTCTTACGCAAGCCTTTGAGGCCAGTTGAAGCCTGCGCCACATACTTCAACCTTCTCCAGCAAACCGCTTCCCAAAATACATTCTCCCTTTCATCCATTTCCTCAAGGAATGTTTCAATAATTCATTTAAAAAACATCAAACCAGATTTTGTATTCTTTAGAGAATGCACCTTTTTTCCACCTACTCCCAACGCATCTTCATTTTTGTGCATCTGAATCTTGCTTGGACCATCATGATATATATAATCAACGATTGATAAATTTTGTTTTTCCTTTTTTTTTTTTCTTCATTATCTACTAAGTTAATCTTCCTATGTGGTATGTAGTGGATGCTTGTTACTAAATTTCTAGAGCTTGCGTGTGCATGGCAGATTTTGTTTTCTGTTCTTTTTGGCAGTTGTGACTTGGACTCTTGCTGCCTATGACGCTGCAGTCGGTTTAATTTCTCCCTTTCTAATTGGACTACACTCACTGTCTATTCATGTTCTAAGTGTATAAATACCAGTTTCGTTCATTTAATCCCTCTGTACAAATTGCTTCTTCTCTTTCCTTTTCAAAGATAAAATGGCAGCAAATGATGTGCCTTGTTGTGAGACTATGTTCTGGGTGTATCTAGTAATATGTGTTGCTCTTGTATGTTTTGCTGGCCTTATGTCAGGCCTTACTCTGGGACTAATGTCTCTCAGCCTGGTTGATCTTGAGGTCCTCACTAAGGCTGGTCAGCCTCAGGACCAGAAAAATGCAGGTTCTTAATATTCCTACCCCACCCTTCATTCAATTCATTCTTTCAACTTCAAAAGCACTTTACCTTATTGATTTTCCCTTTTTGTATGTACTTTCAAAATGGCATGGCAGAGAAAATTCTACCATTAGTTAAGAATCAGCATTTGCTCCTATGCACGCTCCTTATTGGCAATTCCCTGGCAATGGAGGCCCTTCCTATCTTCCTAGATGCACTTCTCCCAGCATGGGCTTCTATACTAATATCAGTAACGCTAATACTCACATTTGGTGAGGTAACATCTTAAGTTGGAAAGCCACAAATTCAGAATTTGATTGTTTTGGTGATAGCTTTAGTTGGTGAAGTGTTTATATATCTTTGCTTTAGTTGGTGATAGCTTTAGTTGATGAAGTGTATATATATCTTTGCTTCAGATTATTCCCCAGGCTGTGTGTTCCCGGTATGGGCTGAGTGTTGGAGCAAAACTTTCCCCTCTAGTTCGTCTCATTGTTATAGTCCTCTTCCCCCTATCTTATCCAATTAGTAAGGTGATTTTCTCTGTGGAATTGTAAAATGAAAGGGAAAAAACTTACCTTTTTTTAGTTGTCTGTTTAATGTAATGAATGATTTGTATCCAAAATGGTTCTTGGTTTCCTCTTGTGCCAGCTGCTGGATTTCCTGCTGGGGAAAAGGCATTCTGCACTTCTTCGGCGAGCAGAGCTTAAGACACTGGTAGATCTGCATGGAAATGAGGTTAGTGTCCAAAGTCCAAACTTCACAGTCAGCAGAAAATAACTGATAAAATTGATTAGAGTTTCCCTTTTTGGTTTTTAGGCAGGAAAAGGTGGAGAGTTAACACATCATGAGACAACAATTATAACTGGAGCTTTGGACATGACACAAAAAACTGCTATAGATGCCATGACTCCCATATCTAAAGTTTTCTCCCTTGATATAAATGCCAAACTTGATGAGTATGCCCTTAACCCTGCGTTGAATCCCTCCAATATTCACTTCTTAGTAACTTATTTCTATGTTTTCAGGGTAACAACGGAACTGATAATCCGAAAAGGGCACAGTCGTATACCTATATACTCAGAAAGTCCAACAAATATCATTGGCCTTATTTTGGTAAAGCACAAATTAAGAAACTATAAAATTTGCTGGATTTGGCGTGGAAAATGAATAACTTGGAATGTTCTTTTTTCATCTTTTCTTTTCTTTTCTTTTCTTTTCTTTTTTTTTCTTTAGGTGAAAAACCTGATCAAAAGCCGGCCAGAGGATGATACCCCCATTAGAAATCTTACTATCAGGAATATCCCCAAGTACATTCATTTCTCAGAATCTTCGCAATCTAAACTCTATTTTAATGAATCAATATTACATATATTGCTATTATATATAACATTGAAAAATCTGTGACAGGGTCCATGATCGTTTACCTCTGTATGATATTTTGAATCAATTTCAAAAGGGTCACAGCCACATGGCTGTTGTTGTCAAGTATAAGGATGATTTAAAAGAGACCACAGATGGTACTGCAGAAACAAAAATCAATATCATGGAGACGAAAGGTAGGAATTGGTTGGAATTAAAAGAGATTGTTTTCCGTGGAAAATTATGACTTGTGAGAATATGATTACTGCCTCCAGGAAATGAGCAAGTGTATGTTCAAAGTCCAACTTTAAAGATGGTGTTGGGCAATAATATAAATTCGCGAGTAAAGAAGCGGGAACATCTAGCCAGAAATAATTCACATGAAGGTTCAGGGTCCTTGGCGGCTTCAAGTGAAGAGGTTCTTGGTATCATAACACTAGAGGATATCATGGAGGAACTGCTACAGGTTCTTTCCTTTTTCTTTGTTTTTCTGTTCGGGTAACATGACAGGTTTTCTAATTCTGTTTCTTGATATATTGCGTAGGAGGAAATATTGGATGAGACCGATGAATATGTAGATGTTCACAACAAGTAATAGCCATTTTTCCTTTGATTTCACCAAACTGCAAATATTATCAATGTCCAAGATTTTTTTTGACATACTCTATTCTCACTTCCTTTCAGAATTACAATCAATATGAAACAACTTTCAATTAGATCACCATCAAGATCTCCTGCAGCGGCTGCTCATTTCCTGCAGAGATCAAGTCCCAGGGGATCCCCACTCTCTTCAGATCATGAAAGTCCACTTTCTTCAAGGGGCTTTACTCCTGTGCTGCATTCCCCAATTTCACCATACGCTCAGTCCCCATTAATCAGGCCAACTCTGTCTGCTTCTCCTAGTAAAACCATGCTGATTTCTCCTCCTGGATTTCCTGGGGTTGTCCACGGCTCTCCCTCCCAACATCAGGTATGAGAAGTTGTTTCTCTTGTTTGCATAATGCGATTGACATGAATGAAGCTGGGATTCATTATGCAAAATCACAAGCGAAATTTATGCATGGATTTTAGAAGTGAATTTTTTCTTAAGAAAGACTATATTGTTTTCCTGTGATACAGGTTTCCAGAAAATCATATGAGAAGCTGAGGCAGAAGCATGGTTCTTAGATCTTCCAGTGCTGGATGATAAGTCTTTGAAAGTAAAAGCACTTAAATTTAAATTTGGTCTCTGCATATTGGAGTTTCTCAATTCCATCCAAATGATTTGGGTACCTTGCATTAAAAATCAAATAATGGGTCCATAGAATATGATGGGGGAGGTCCTTGCATTTCCATTTTTCCTTGCATTTCCATTTTTCTGCAAAATGATAATAATAATAATAATAATAAATAATGTATAAAATAAAAATAAAAATAATAACATACAAAGATCCGGAGAGAACGGATTCAGTTTCGGGTTGGAAGAAGCCCGGGAGAACTGGGTCGAGATCGAGATGTGAAAAGAGGAAAACAATGATTGACGGCCCATGGGCCATGG